CCTGCCCCCTAGTGCACACGTTAATGTTACGTCCAAGTATGATGACAGGCACCAATGTAAACGTCTGCACACATCGTCTGTTATTGTTTATAGACTTACAGGAACAGAGGCATGTTCCAGGCTTAACAGAGCATTGGTGGGATAAGTAAGAGCCGAGGCAAAGAGAAAAAAACAACAGTCCTTTCATTCAACCCCCACACACCTTGCTCCACTGCTCTGCTGGAGAAAAAAGGGGAATAAAATAGAGTGACCCTGCCACTAGCAGCTCTCTTTTTCCCCCACTGCTCTCTTCTTCCTCCCCCTTGCCGTGTGAAATCAAATTTCCATGTGGCTCCCGTATCTGTTGCACAGCGAGGTGATTTATCAGGGATGCAAAGAGCATGCAGAAACAATCTTTATTACATCCATTTCCTGCTTGTCAGCCGGGATCATGTTGGCTGTTCATTAAAGGCGCGGCGCAGGTGAGGAGAATGCATCCCGATGCCTTGATAGATTGTCTGCTCCCCTGTGGTGACAGCAGCTGGATGGATTGAACAGCGGGGGGTGAGGAGGGAGGAAAAAAAGCGCTGACTCCGTCACTGCCCCTGTCAGACACACTTTTATATAGCCGGCCAGTGTCATTTCTACCAAACAGCCCCTCACACACATGCACACACAGACTTCTGACACTCTTTGGACTTAAGCCAGACTTAATGCATGGCTGCATACACACATACACACACACACACACACACACACACAAAGTATTTATAGACACTGATGTAAAAATACAGAGACACATTGTAAAGATGAGGTTCATCTTAATACACAGTTACCAACCTCAGCTCTCTCTGTTGAAATCACCAGCCTGGTAACAACCCATGGGGATGAAATACGTAACATTAAGTGCAACAGACTTTTTGCCAAATTTTAAAAAGAGAAGTTGCAAAATACTTTTTTATAATTGAAATAACCAAAAATTACACCCATACAGGTAATTTGGCGTTGCTTGGCGACCACTTTGTTTAGCTACTTGTCAAGGACTTTGTTGCTTGGTGGTGAAAGATAATCATGATAATCACGCTATTATTATTTTGTGCGAAGGAGCATCTCAACAGCAGCCGGCTGTGTGTTAAGTGGTTTGTGTGTAACACTTTTTTCAAATGTGCAGTGATTAAGGAAATGATGGCCTGTTTTGTTTACACAGCAACGGGAAAATATAGTGTGCACTCAGATACTGAGTAATATGATAGAAATCACTTAAGTATGAACTAACTCTGCACTGGTACGTGGCTAAGTTAACACATACAAATGACTAGCATAGCAGTAGCATACCATACCAACTGCTTCAGTATTAGTCAGTTAAAAAAGCAAAAGCTGTGCTTTTGACCTGTAACTTGGATATCTTTGATTATAATGCGCTGACCACCAAAACCAGTTAAAAATGTACAGTAAAGTACAAATTTAATTATCCTAATGGCCTTAGTGAGAATTGCAGGATTTCTGTAGGACACTAAGTACAACTGTGACGTGCAGCATGTGAAGAGGGTACAATAAATGCTTTTCATGCTGTACGGACACACCTCATTAAGTCAATCAGCTGAGACTGTAGAATATCAAAAATACAGCCCTACCTCTTACAGCAGCTACGTAAGCCTTCAGAATCAGCCATAAAACCTTTTATCGCACCTCCTACATCAACAGATAAATACATACAGTATGACAACATAAATACAGCTCTGCGTCTATATTGGGCACACATTATTCCCTCAGTGGACTGCTTTTCAAGGTACAACTACAAAATCACACTATCTTCAATTTACTGTAATTGTTAAGAGATAAAAAAGATGCTATGTCTACATACATGGGCTCAAAGTGGTGTTTATCTGTATATATCCTACATACTATTGCGACGCTCTGCTAAGAACAGAGTAAGACACATAATTTAAAAGAACCATTTCCATGCTCTTTGCAAATCAGTGTGATATAAAAGTCTTGCATTACAGTAATCTTTGATCACTCAGCTCACTGAATTATCTTTGACACTGCTCAGTCTTCTTTGTGTATATTACCTCTCTTTTCTTTCTCTCTCTCTCCCTCCATCCATCTATCCTTCTACATCCCTTCACCAACCTAATCCGTGTCCTGTGTCTCTCTGTGTACCAATGACATATAATGACAATGGCGTAAGCGCAGATCGATATTGGAGTGCTTTTGGGACGCCCAGCCAGGAGGGACGAAGGCCGGTGTTGAAAGCAGGGTGACAGGGACACTGTGGGGCTGTCATGGAACAAAGTGGGCGGAGGGCCATTTTACTGATGAATCTATATTTTTAACCCACTCACTGGTCATAATCAGTGGACGACAGCCTAATGACTACTGTTTATGTTGATGTACACTGTATGTGAAAGTGGTCTGCAGGGTTCAGTATAGGGACATCTAAGAAATTATTCACTTTACATGAAATGTCAAAGGAAGAGCTGCAGTATACAAACTAGACATCAGGCACAGTATGACTTCAGTGCAATTAAAAAAAAAAGCTCTTTAATTGTTGCACTTTTTAAAAACAGTTTCAGCATGACAGAAATATACTAGTGTAATATACTGCTTCATTAAATCAATCCAAATTAATGCAGACTGATCACAACTGAATGTCATTAACAGATTCTTGATGTACTACTTGAGAAACACAATGAAAGAGAGATGTTAATGGCTTTATATCTCTGAATAAAATTGACTGTCTTCTCAAAATAAAAACGTAAAGGCGCGTCTGTAGAAAGGGAAGTAGACAATCTAGACATAATTGGTATTTACACTCAGATTTGGTCTTGCCAAACATTGTAAATGGTCTCGACAGAATCCAGCGATAAATGTTATATATATATGTTTTCTGAAGTAACGTCCTCCTTCATTACAAAACGATTGATGAAGCATGCTTGTTGAAAACTTTTATTAGTATTGGTTTAATTCAAAATCCATCTAGAACAAGCAGTGACATTGGCCACCAGGCAGCCAATCGTACGCCTGGCTGCCAAAACTCATCTCATTGGCAATGGCAAAACCATTGGACTTGACTTAGACTCTTTGGACCTTTTTGGAGTCCTGATTCTGTCCTGACTAGTCCTGGTCTTGACAAAGGTGGTCTCATGATGATGTCCATGTAGTACAGTAATAAACAAATCTAATGAAAATATATCTAATGGTGTAACTGTGGGAGAATAGTCTGACAGACTCGAGTCAGATGCAAACCCAAACACAAGAATACAAATTGAAGGTGGCACAGTGAACATGATTCAACGCTTGGAGAGGACCGGCCACAGATGCCAATTACATTACCTCTCTAAAACAGAGGAATTGGATTGAAGGATGGAGATAGAGAAAGAGGGGGGAGGGGGAGGGGGGGCGGGAGCGCTTTCACTCAAAGAAAAATAATTTATTTCATTGTGATATTAAAATCAATAGGCATCGATTGAAAGGTGGCTAAAGGTGAGCGTGTACATGATCCTTCAGATGTGAGAGGCAGACTGTCCGAGAGGGAAGAAGGGAGGGAGAGACGGAGAAAGAGAGGGAGGGGAAAGAATAAAAAAAAAGAAGGGTGGCCAGAGGAAGAAGTCACCTCCTAGTTAACAAAGAGGGAACAGGAAAAAAAGAACAGGAAAAGACCAAGAAAATGAGAGAAAGAGAAAGAGATGGAGAGAGAAAGAGAAAGAGTGAGGGAGTTCTTGCCCGGTGGAATCAATACAAAGAGGTGGAGCAGAGTACAATAGCCTCAGAGGAGAGGAGATTCAGTGGTGCAAGTCTAATACTCTGTCTCATACACACACACATACATGCACACACAAATACATTAAAACACACACACACACACACACTCGCCCCCTCTCTGAATCCTTTTTGCTCTTGCTTTCTCCTGACATTTCACTCTATATCCTTCCTCTGTTTAATTTCTTTCTCTTTCTCTCTCGCTTGCTTGCTCATTCTGTATCCACCCTCCATCACCAATAACCCCCCCCCCCCCCCCACACACACACACACTGAGTAGCTGTCTGTATGCAAAGGGATGCAGAGCAAAGAGAGGGCCTTCTGTCCAAAGCAGTCCACCATAATAGCAGCATCTTTTATCAAAAACAGACAACATACAAACGAGCATGGATGCAAGTGTACAAAAAACACACATCGATACACACACGAACAAACCATTTCGCCGAATAATGACACTTTTATAGGACATTTTCTCCAAGTCCACCTTCACACACATACCACAGAGTCAAAGCCACTTGGATCATGCAAAAAGAGTGTCATATGAACACTTTTAACACACAAATAAAAAACAGCACACTCCAACACTACTCCAGCTCTATCAGCACTTGAGACTAGTGAGGCTTCAATTAGTTCTTGATGAATGAGCCCATAAGATGCCGCTCTCTCATTTCCCTTGTTGCCAGATATCCCAGCAATCAGAGAGAAATGAATTCTCATTGTGGCGTGACTGAGACGAAGATGACGGTGGTGGGGTGGTGTTGGTGGAGGGGGAGCAGGGTACTAACATAAATCATTCACCCTCTCCACAGCAGGCCAGAGTTCAGCTTCATCACACCGAACCTGACAAGTCTAGAGCAGTCTAAAATCTTTTTGGATGTTGCAAACTATTTGACAAAAGGAAAATTGCATAACACCATTCTCTAATTAAAGTACATTTTCAGAAAATCAATTTTCATATGATTTTCTAAATATTTTTGCGGTCTGCTCTTGCTTTTATTGTATTAAGCCAAAAAATTTCAAATGTTGAATTAAAAATACCAGCTAGCTTACACTCAGAAAGAACCCAAGCATAAGTTATGTTACAAAGTAAGTTATTTACTTGCAATATATGCCCCAATGTTTTTATTTTGGCTAACAGAAAATCCATATTTGTACAATCAATCTACAGTATTTAACAGGCAATATGTACCGTCAGTATACCGTTCATTGAAAATAAGCATATGCGTGAGGGTTTGTGCTGCAGTGAAGGTTAGACTCACCATCATCAATGATGCTGACCACTACTCCATTACCGGTGATGTTGTTGCTCCAAACCGGCATCACATTCAGGTCAAACCCACTGGAGTTGTACTCGCCCTGTGCAAACTAAACACACACATACATGCATAACATTATTATGCCTGCTTGAAAAGGAACACTGCAATGAGGATTATTGTTCAACATAAACCCAAATGCATCTCTCAGTAATTCTAAGATTCTATATTCTGCCAGCAGTGACACACAGTTGCCTGAGAATTTTCGTTGGACATTGTTAAGTCTTTTTGAACTTGCACCGGTTGGTACACCTGTTTGGAAAACTGGAGGTTGTATTTATGCAGATCAGAGGATGCAGTGCAATTATGGCATAAAAACGCAGTTGTGTTTCTGCCTGTTTATCGCTGTCATGCATTTGTCTGCATCACCATCCTCTTCTCCCTTTATTTTTCCGCTTGCTCTCTGTAGTGTGTGTGCCATGGATTTCTAACATCTCCTTTGTTCCTTTGCCATTTTTCACCTGTCCTTTCGATGGAACTGCAGTTTCTTGTCCCTGCTTACCACCTGACCCAATCACCTGCCTGCCACCTGCAAATATTGATTTCTTCCTACTTTATTATTATATTCATCCTCTTCTCCACATTACACGATACATACACATAGGAGAATGGTGGAAATTGTGTGCTTGAATCCTGAAATTTGCAATAGCCGTTACATTTCACTGCATTGTATTGCATTACTTTACACTTACACTACGATGTAAGTGTATTGCAGTGTGCCACCTCTGGATGAATACAGCCTTAGCTGTGCCAATGGTAAAAAATAATATTGATAAGATCTGTTAAATTATTCTGCTTTCTGCACTTGAAAATTGGAAAATTATGGAAATGGAGTGAACATTTTTCTCCCTCTCCTCAAAATGATCAAACGTGTTTACACTTTAGCTGTGTTGATGATGACAGCACTTGTTGCCACAAGTACACTTTTACCCAGGAGGCAATGCTAGTAATTTGGGAGAGCACCTGTTAAACTACTGAACATCATAACTTTACAGTTATCCACAGACTGTTGTGTTCCAAGACATCTACTGCACCTCTCTTCCTATCCTGCAGGGAACCTTACACAGTGTTCAGTAGGGCATTAATATTGCTGCTGTTGCTGCCAAAGAGATAATATTTTCTCAATATAATTACAAAACAGAGCTGTTTCTACTCATAGCAAATCCATTTGTTTCATTTAGATTTAGTCTATTAAAAGCAGCTCATGATAGAATTGTTTAAGTATTAAAAAGTACAATAAGCAGTGTCATTCAATGTATAGTGTTAAATGTTGTTTTCTCATGGTCTACATACAGCACTGTATGTGAACATACTTTTTATCATCTGTGCTATATGTGCATCAGTGAAAGCTGTTGGGTTGTGTGTTTATGTGAGATAATGTGTGCACGTCCTTGTGTACGAGAACACCGTCTGTGTGGGTTCAGAGTGCCCATAAGGACCCCGGAGAGTTCATGAGAAAGTCACAGAGACAGATCTTTCATCCTTGCACCTCAAACCACAAATCCACCCACATATAAACAAACAGACGCACACAAATCTGCACACACTCTCACAGCAACAACCCCAGCATGGTAAGGCAGAAGAGCCCCACAAACTACATACATTCACTTGAAAACACTAACACCTTCATACAAATATAACATAAACATATGCTTACAGGCACACAGACTAAACACTTCAAAACAACACAATAGCTGTGCACACAAACACATAAACACACACCCAAAAAGGTAGTTACTAAAAATGTCAGCAGCTGTCCAAAACTCCTCTGCCCACACACACAACCAATTTGATATTCAAAGTGAGTGTTTCAAGAGGCGTCAACTCTGTTGTTATCATGAAGAAGAGAGAGCACAATGGGGAAAAAATGGCTCAGTAGGGGGTAGGGTGTGTGTTTGTGTATATAGGTGTGTGCATGTGTGTGCACCTGCGTACCTATCAAACAGTGGACCTCAGAGTTGTTACACATTCAATAACAATGGATTTGCGAGCCAACAGCAGACATTTTGGTTTGTGCTTTAAATCATGTTTAAGACCCTTTATTTTAATTTTAGACAAGAGAGGACTTGCAGGTATGTGAGTGAGATATTCAGCACTGCCCCTGCAGGCTGGAGCAGTGATTTTATTTGCCTATTTTGCTTATGTATATAAAGCACTTTGTAACTGTTTCTTTGATAAGCACTGTATAAATAAAATATATTATTATTATTATTATATAAAGTTTTTTAATAATGACTCACTTACACAAGTTGTTTTTTCACACTCCTCCATAGTGTGGATGGCCATCAGCCTTTCAGTCTATAGGGGTGCCATTTACCAGGCTACATACTGAAGAAACCAGTCTCCTTAAACATGATTTGTATTTTTGTAACAAAATATAAGCTTCACACTGTATTACAATAAAGGGCTACCCAAAAGGCAGAGGATATATTTCTTTTCCATTTCAATTAATCACTCAAAGCACTTCTAACATCAGACTTTTAGTAAAGCTTTTACTGTAAATGGTTCAGTCCCAAAAAAGCCTTCCCTGAACATTTTTCAGTTTAAAATGTATAAAGCGCTTTGGCTTAGCCATGAGCCAGAGAGCTAACATTATGCTACCAAGATTCATTAACAAGTCATTAACACTGTGTATGGTTGACAAACAGTAAATATAATTTGAATAGCGAAGTGTGAGCGTGAGATGATTATAACTGATCAGAAGGGCAGTTTAGTTGTCATTCAGTCGCTACCTGTGGTGTTCAGAGGATGAGGCACTGAAGGACTACACTGATGGAATAGATATATTCATACGATATTGAGGAACTACTTGGTACTACTAGGTGTCTAATATGAGTAATTAATGGACACCCTAAAGTCAATGAGAACTGAGTATTTGCCCAGACCATGGTATAATGTCTGTTGTGAATGTGTGAGCAGCATTCACTCCTGAAAAATGTTTTACTATCAAACTACTGATAAGTCTTTGAATATTTTTAGTAAAGTGGCATCAGCAAGGTTGGCACTGTTGTTTTTGAATGAAGGGGTGTAGTGTGCACAATGACCATCTATCATGATATAAGTCAGTAAAGCAACAAAACATTAGGACCTACTTGGGTACAGAAAAGAACCCAAGCTCAATGAATAGTTTATGCTGAGAAAAATAATGCTAATTTATAATATTGTCATCATATTTAAGACACCAGTTTTAGATATAAGAAAACTTTTAAGTGGCTATTTAAACTTGTAAAGAAAAGGCACATTTGCATTTATATTATGAAAAAGACCTTAAAAGAAAACTTTCCATTACATTTTTGTTCTTTCAAAATGACCAGTGGTCCATACTTGTTTGGTGTAGAACGATAGTCCACAGTTGGTAATGTACAGTAGGAGGAATGTATATATGTGAGCGTGTGTGCGTGTGTGAGTTTGCTTGTTCGCACTTGTGTCTGTGTTTGAGAGGGTTGCATCTAGGGAGCAGTGCTGCTTTGTAGTGTGTGAGAATAAAGCAGATGAATGGAGGCAGCTAGCAAGCTAACGTCCATCTGAGCACAAGGACCGGCCCTGGGGAGTGCGCGCACACACACACACACACACACGCGACACAACAGACACATTGCACATACTGTATGGGTGCAAAGAAAAAAAAAAAACACACACCTTTGTGAACTTGGATATAAGCCCACAGAGAGTCATCTTGAATGCTGACTCACTTTACACACATATACACTGTCATGAAGTGAAAGCCAACAACACAAGCTTCACACACACAGACAATTGTGCACAGAATCATAATCATTCTCTGAAGCACTGGAACACAACCAATCCTGTCTTTCTAGCATATACACATTTNNACACACATATATGTGTATGTGTATGTATATGTGTGTGTATATATACGCATATGTGCACGCATGGTCAAGTGCATATAAATACATGTAAACAAACTTGTGAAAAAGTTAATGCAACACAAGAGCACGAAACAAATGCACATTCACACTTTCTCTATGCATAAAACACACATGCAAACACAGCAACAACAAAACAATCTCTCTGGCTTCTCTGCCTTTATCTTAGCTGCCCCTCAGCTATAGCATACAAACACACACACACACACACACACTCTCTCTCTTTCTCTCACATACGCATACACCATCCACAGCAAGCACGTTCAGGATGCTGTATGGATTTTAGCAGCTTTGAACAAGCTCCTCTGGAGCAGCTGGACTCAGCCTTAGCAATGATACAATGGAGTCCACTTGCCTTGTGTGTTTGTGTATGTGTGTGTGTGTGTGTGTATGTGTGTACTGCTCACCCATGATGTACACACCAGCTTTTAGCAAACAAACACGCCAGGCTATCATGCACACACACATACACATATGCACGTCTGGTCCTGGCAGGCTACCAACCCTGAGCAGATTACTGACCCTCAATCAATATCCACGTCCACCAGAGGCTGATTAAACACAACAGAA